AATTGGGTATGGCGCTATCGAAGAATGATCACCATTTTTATGAGTATAGCAGCAGCCGTTCCAAAAGAGGCTGGCAAAGGATAGCTGCTCACTGTGCATCATATTCTAATAATATTGGCTTATTCCTACTCTTATTTCCTTTCCCTTCATCCAAGTAGCAGAGGCAAATTATTGGTAATAGTTGGCTGACCTGAAAACAATGTTTTAACCTGCATTCTTTGTTTCTAAGGCTGAGAGTTTTCTATTGTACTAATGTGACTAACTTATTTTTGATTTATACTGTTTGGTTATGCTTCTAATTTTGCATTACTTTCTTTTAGAATTATAACTATTTGTGTTTTGGGAGTGTATATGTATAATAACGCTTTATAACTAATAGAAAATCTTAACTTAATAGAAAAAATATACTCAGAAAATTTTTTATTCCGAAATATGAGAAACCCTACTAGTGAAAAGGCCAATTTAATAAGGAGCCTAAGAATTTCATTAACTTGTCCAGATATAAAATTAAATGCGATGTCTTCTGACTTTCTCGATTCACGTAACCCTTGATATTATAAGGTATTTTTCTTGGAAACCTCATACAAGAAAAGCCTCTTAGAAGAACGCGTATCTTAAAATAATAATCAACCTGTTATAGATACTTAAAGTAAAAATAATTATAAAACGTTGTATTATTTATTAAAATTTTTTAATGTTGTATTAATTTAATTTAATCATTAATAGTGTTAACTTGTGCTGCAAGTGTTATCTACACACACCATTGCATTAGATTTAGAACTGAGCGTTTCTCAAACTGTGGGGTGTGCTTCCCTAGGGGGCGTGATAACTCTAATAGGGGGTGCGAGCATATTGAAAAGTCGAAAACAAAAGATGAGTTAAAAATTATTAATTCACTGAAAGTAAACAAGCAAAAAATGCATTCTGACATAATAAAAAATAAAATTAACTTTTCACTGATATAATGCTCTTATAAATGTCTCAGTGTATTATATCAATCAGTTTATAATTAATTTAGCAATACTAAGTTAATAACAAGTTTAATAATTACAATTGAACCCATGGGCTTGTCACATATACCAAATTACATACATAAGTTAACACTTGTAATAGGGGACTATTCCTACTTCCCTCTAGTCCCCCTTGTCTACTCTCGGACCAGGCTAGAAGTGTGGGAGCAACTAATTGATCAGACGACATGATTAACTAAAATCGTTTATTTGTTACAATAATCAACATAGACACAATAATAATCCAATTAAGACAGTTTGATCAATATTTAGAGCGCGAAGATAAGACCAGTTAGCATGGAGATAATATTTACAGACATTCAACTAATTTCTACGATAACTTACACTAACTCGTTTCTAATTCGAACGCGCTCTAACAATTTACACTCTAACTTCTATTTAAATAAGAAGCACCGTACCTGAATTCTTGTACTTCCAAAATCCTATAGCTGAGGCCTTGTACACTAACGGTCGACTTGTGTGTGTGTGTGTGTGTGTGTGATCACCACGCATCCGAGTGATCCTCACTTTGGTAATCTTCAATTTAACAATCTTAGATTTTCACTTCATGAACTCTCAAAACTCGCGAATACAGAATTTATATAATAAACTTAATTTGCATATTCACGTTTTCTTTCCTTCGGTGAAAGTTGTTTGAATTATTTATTTCTCTTAAAGAATCCCAAGGTGTTAGTAGAGATACGAATAGATCCGTCACACACTTATCTTTATAATTTGTACGGTTCATGATTAATCCCTTCACGACCGATTAAAAGATATGTGATTTGCTCCCCAATGGCACTGTTTTCCACGTAGGCGTGAGCATGTGATGAGGGGTAAGAAACGGAATAAAAAAAGAAAATCAAATCCTCCGAAATTAGTAAATCCTTCGTAGACACTGTCAAGGTCTTTAAATTGCATTTCAAAGCCTTCGGAATAATTTTATGAATAGCAGTTTACAGAAAAAATCGGAAAGACGTATATATATACGTCCTGGGCAATTAATACTTTCTGCTGAGCGAGATGTTTACATACGCCGGTTGGACTTAAGATTCTAAAGTCGATAAGTATATTAAGTATATAAGATGTTCAGTGTTGAACAAATAATTCTTGTGACGCCCACAATAACAAGTGAATCTGATGGGTGAAGAAGAACTCTTGAACATCGCGTGCCAGGTTCAACCACGTATTCCAATATCCTGTTTGAATATGGCTGATGGCAAGCGCTGAATGTATGGGCAGACAACAGGCTTCAACACCTCAGAGATGTAGCATTGGCTGTTCAGTGTACCGTCAATGCATACTAGAGGGGTGCGACAGTGAAATCCAATACCACTCTAAACCATGATACCGCGTGCAGGACCAGAACAGCCTTGAAACTTAACAAGCCGATTTCTTTCATAGAGTAGAGATTTGCTGAAAAATGGGTTTTACTGAAATAAATCATCTAGGGACGTTGCTGGGTTGAAGAGGTGTTAAAGATAAATGTTCCCGCTTTTGAAATACTAGACCTACTGATTTGAAACTTGGTAGTTATGTTCTTTTCATGAAGTATAGATTCATTACAAAAGTGGATTTTCAGAATTCAGCAACCAGGGGGGTTGTGAGGGATTAAGTGCCGTTATGGAAAAATATTCCCGTTTATGAACTATGAGATCTACAGACTTGAAATTTGACACAGGCATTTCCTTTCATCGAGTAGTGATCCGCTACTAAAATTTTTTTTGAAAGTAGACCCTCAAGGGGGTTGCGAAGGGTTAATGGGTCGTTAATGATAAATATTCGCGTTTTTGAATTATTAGACCTTCAGACTAGAAATTTTGTAGGCAGGTTCCTTTCATGGAGGAGAGATCCGCTAAGAAAGGGTTTTTTTTGCCAAAATCGATCCCCAAAGGGTTTGCAAAGAGTTAAGAGCCTTTATAGATAAATATTCCCGTTTTCTTAACTATCAGACCTACAAGTTTCAAATTTGGCAAATCTGATTTTTTTGTTGGGCAGAGATATGCTAAAAAAGCCCTTTTTCTTGTTGAATTTGCAATTCATTTAAATGTAACACACAAAATTTTTTTTCGCTCCAATCTCTATTATTTTATTTTTTAATTAACCCGTGCAAAGAACAGGTATATCAGCTAGTATTATAATAAAAGTTTTCAGGAAATTATAAAAAACAAAGACTGTGCGGCTGCGAATTCATTTTACCTGTGAGATCCGCATTGGGAAATACGGGTTCAGATACTTGTGATCATACAAACTCCATACGAAACGTGAATCTATTTTGCGCAAACAAGTATAGTTTCAAATATTTATTTTGACTCTTGGAACCCCTAGGTATGCTTCATGAAACCTCAGGGTTCCGAGGAACACAGTTTGAAGATCACTGTCTTAAGGCATTGATCACTGTCTTAAGGCACATTCCCCTTTTTGCTTTGTATTACTGGGTAGAAAAATATGTCCTTTATAAAATAAAAAGAATAGATAAGGAAGCCACAAATTAATTAAAAATAAAGAATGAAGGCATCCATCTATGATGCACCGTTAGCTATTTAAAAAAATTAACTTTGAATGAAATACAGTCGAACCTCTATATAATAAAGTCACTGAATCCCGAGAAAAAGTTCGTTATAGGGAAAATTCAATATATAGAAGTTCCTCTTTCAATTTTCTTTATAAACCTCATAAAACAAATTTTAAATTAAAAAGTACTTATTAAAAAAGTAATTATTCGCACCTTTTTGTAAATTAATACATATTTATTTTATATATCTTATCCCTGAAAAAAAAAGAAAGAAAGAAAGGAAATTTGCAAGGTAAGTTTCTTGACACCTTGATCCACTTCCTGAGGAATTAAATTTTTTTTCTTTGATGCTCAAGTATTTACGCTTTGACATTTTAGAGCTACAAGAAACGAAATTACCATTACGACTGATCAACACTACAAATGAACGGAGACTATTCCAAGGACACGGAGACACGAGACAACTCTACTGAGGGTGAATATGTTTCCAGTGAACTGGACAATGGGAGTTAAAAGGCACTTCTTGGATGAAACGCATAGAATTCTATTGTTCTCGGCGAGTTAAGCACCTAATAAAACCAGTTCAAGATTTATGATTCCCATAAAATGTGTTAATAGAAAGAATAACTTGAAATGGCCAGAAATACGTCAAAAATAGAGTGAAACAAAATGAATCAGAAGAAAAAAAAAAGGGTTCGTTATATAAAAAATGCACTTTGCTATTGGGAAGTTATTTTACGAAGAAAATCGTGAAATGCTCTTAATTCCAGGAAAAACGCTATATAAGCATTCGCAATATAAGGGTTCGACTATATATATATATATATATTTTGCACAAGTTTCGTTTTAGGAACGTTAAAAGTATTATTTTGTATATTTTTATGTTAATGTCTTTGACTTTTATTTTTTTAATATTAAATGATTATTGAAATAAATATTTTTTAATTCTGTCGTAATATTTCGATAAAAGGATTATTTTTTAAATTTATTTTTATAGTTTGAAAATTTTGCCCATCATCTAAAAGAAAAAGAACCCGTATTTTTAAAAATACATTTTTTGAAATATTTTAAATCCTGACTTAAGTGTATTTTGCTTAGTAAATTATATAAACCATATGAATTGAATTTAAACACACACACACACACACACACACACACACACACACACACACACACACACACACCACACACACACACACCACACACACACACACACACACACACCACACACACACACACCACACACACACACACACACACATTTATATCTTGTTCAAATTTTTAATCGTTAATAAAATACTTTCTATTCATCCATTCAAGTTAAAATACATTTTTTTAAACTTGTAGTGGATGACACTTGATGTTAATACATTTTTGAAACATTAATTTATTGAACAAATTTATAATGAATAAATAGAAACAAACAAAAATGATAGTTCAACAGCATATATAGAAAGGAAAATAGTTCACATTGTGTCTGTTTAGCGCAATGGATAGTGCGTTAGACTTCTAATTTAAAGGTCGTGGTTTCGAATCCCACCTGAAATGGACTAATTTCTGAGAATGTGATTTATTTTTTACTATTTAATTAGAATAATTAAATTAAAATGAATAAATATAACAAATAAATAAAACAAAAATAGTCCAACACTATACATAGAAAGGAAAATCGCTTTTTATTTTGTAACTTATCATATTTTGTGATTCTCTCATATTCATATACATATTTATATTAATTGTAACTATTTAATAAAAAGTAATTAAAATAAAATTTTTCTTTTTTGATCTAAGTAGGAATTGACCTAAACAATTTTTTTTATATATTACTTGTTAGGTTTAAAATGCATTTTCCGTTATTAACAACATTTTATACACAGATGTTGGAACGATTTTTATAATTTGAAATCGAGTTTTTATTATCAAAACATCAAAGAGTATTCCATTTAACTGAGACGCAATAATGCACATTTTTATAAAATAGTTCATAATAAATTTTTTTCAGAACACGGAAAAAAATGACTTGTTTGTCAGAACTTTATTTTTAATCATTTGCGAATTTATTTTCCATTTTTACGAGTTTATTTTATCAAGAGAACATGTATCATCTTAAAAATACAATTTATCGAAATCATTGAGGGATTTATCACTTAAAAGAGCAATTTACTCAATGAAATAAAGTTACTCTTTATATATATATAGGATATATATATTATTATATATATATATATATTATATATATAGGATATATATATATTATATATAGGATATATATATATATATATTTACATATATAGGATATATATATATTATATATAGAATATATATATATTTTACATATATAGGATATATATATATATTTACATATATAGGATATATTATATATTTTACATATATAGGATATATATATATATATATTACATATGTATCTTTTGTTAGTATCTACGCCATACAGATCCTGAATAATCCTTTAAGCCATTCAATTAAATGTTTTTTGTTTACAGAATTTATTAAAGAACATCCACCTACTTCATTTTATTTCTGAGAACCATGAAATGTTTTTCTGTACCCAAAATAAAATGATTAACTAGAGTATCTGCCATTAATATTACAATATTTACGGAATCGGTGCTATTTCAAAATTAAACTTTTTTTGCTTCTTTACATTCCAAGAGCGATATGACATATCTTTTTTTTGTTTCAAATACATATTTACTTATGATCAAAACTTACTACAATTTAATAGTTGAAAAAAGATGCAAAATGTTTTATTGGAACACTAGTAAATGGTATAATAATATACATATTTTTACCTGTCGTAAATGTCACGAACTTAAGCTTTTGTTTTAAAAATATCTTTCAAGTGAAGATGTCGTAATGGATTAAAAATAAAGTAATTCAGCTGGGAAAATTAAAAATTTAATAATTTAGATCAGAGGTTCCCAAACTTTTCTGTCTCATAGACCCCCTTTGCCATGTTTTTCGTCTTTGGGTGGACCCCTTCTTACCTAGTATTAAATTTTTGCTCATTTTTATTTAAATGTCTCTTTGACAGCTAGTATACAGCTACTTAATTTAAAAGATTCAAATTTTTAACTGTAATGAAGTATAGTGTTTAAAACTTAAAAATCACACATGTTAATTAATTTTAAATTTAATAAAACATAAAATAAAATTAAATCCTAGTACAAAATTCGCATCGTCAAGAGCTCAAGTGCCTCCCTCTGTGGAGGAAACTGGGCGTCAAAATTGCTTGCTGTAATTGGTATCGCCTATATGGTGCACAAGGAATGTACTAGGTCTGCAAAGGTTTAAATACCAATGCGCAGCCCCATTGAAAAAAATAATACATAAAATAACTGAGCAGAGCAAAGAAAAATGGTTTCAATAGGAGGGATGAATCTGACGTTTCATTCAGTGAAACTCTTGCTCTTTACTCACCAGAAAAAAACAATTAAAAAGTTTCTCACGATATTCCATAATTTAGGGTAAACAACAAGAATGTCCTTTTATAGCCAAAATTGCTGACATTCGTTTCTAAACTATACTTTAACATCTTTGTTACTGCCTACTCCGATGATTTCCTCTTGTAAAATGACATTTATTTCCTTCAATGAGACCGTATGATTTCTTAGTCTGCAGTAGTATTATCATAGTCAAAGAATTCTCAAACCTGGTATTAAAATCTGAATAGAGGGCATTTAAAAGTTGAACGTAGGTTAAAACGTCATCTTCCTGGTAGATTGTCTGTTACAAAATGAGGAACTGAGAAAATTTGCGATGCTTAATATTATACTGCTTTAGCTTAATTCTGGGAAGGAAAGCTGAGATGGTGGTCCTAGTTTTAATAAAATATATGCTGTCACCTTGTAACTGCGCAAATTAACCTCATTAAATTTAGTAAATAAATCTGTTAAATAAGTAAAATCTGGTTTCTCATTGACTACATTTTAAAAAAAAATTAAAGTCATGATCTGGTTTAATGAGAGCTACAATCGTAGACCCCCATTTGCATTTCATGGACCCTAAATTACTTTTTAACTGAAGTGGATCCCTTGTAAGTCGACATAGACCCCCTGGGGGTCCATATAAACCACTTTGGGGATCACTGATTCAGATGAATTATGTTATACACGGGAATCATAAACCTTTAATTTAGAGGAAGAATAATATATATATTATACTTATACGATAAAATACTTTGATTTTTTAAGTGACTAAAAACTTTCAATAATTTGCTCACTCATTATTGTTTCTATTGTCATTTTCAAGGTCCGATCTCATTTTATCCGATGAGAAAAATTTTGTAAAAAATGAAAACCAATTTAAAATCTTCTTCCCTTGCTTTTTCAGGAAACATCCAGAATTTTTTAAAATTTAAGCTCATTTTAAAGCACTAATAATAAAATTTATAGTTTATATGAATGATAATAACTAACTTTAAAAAAAAAAAACTGATGCAAAAACGATAGCAGCCTTTTATTTTAGAGAAAAGAATAGGTATATATGATTGAGAGAGAGAGAGAGAGAGAGAAATATGCAACTAACATGCCTTCGTAATTTCGTGTGTAAGTGTTGTTGATTTTCAACTGATGTTTTATTTTCAACACTAGCAATGTCTAGGATAAGTCATTTAACTGATTCATTAAGGTGGCTGGAAGTCGGATGGACGGAAATGGAGTTGTTACAGGCTGATTCTTCTAGACATCTCAATGTTTTTCTCAATGTGGTATAACGACCGTAGGATCAATATCAGTCCGAAGATTGCGTGTCCAGACGACATTTTCCAGGTCAACCACGAGCTACAACACTTGCAGAAGACCATTTTCTACTTGCAGAAGACCATTTTTTTTATCTCTTTCGGCTCGAAGGAGAAGAACCTCTACTGTGCCACAGCTTGTTGCAGACCACATTGTAGCATCTGGAAAAAGAATCTCCTCCAGTACGGAGTGAAGACGCCTTCACATTGCAGGTCTGTATACAAGGCGACCAGTTTTCTGTGTCCCCCTCCACGGACGACAGAGAAGTGCCCGTTTATTAGGACAAGAGAGCAGCAATGAGAGTCTGTACTCTTGTCAGACGTGTCCAGATTCTCACTGCAGATCAATTCGGGGAATCTGCTGATTTGGAGGGAACAACGCACCAGATACCATCTCAATCCAACACAATTAAAAGGTGGTAAAGGTGGAGGAATCATGATTTGGGCAGAGATCTAACTGACCAGCATGGTGCTTCATGGAGAAACTCTGACAAATGTGAGATATTGGGATGAGACCTTGTAAAGCGCATCTTACTAACTAAGTGGGGTTTCGTGGTAGAATGCTCTAACTAATTACTTCAAATAAATTCTGCTCAACTCAGTTCATGGCCAGCCAGATAGTTTTTATGCTTTTAATCACATTCTATATACATATTTACAAAGTTTAGTGAGAACTGCCTATTAATTCTAAATTATAACAACTACTAGTAAGCGAAACAAACATCAACTCGGCAGAACTGAATTGGATCCGAAACAAAAATACATTTTATACATACAGAGAAAGTGGGAGCGCCCTCTATTGTGCCTTTTGTCACACCTTGATCCATATGCTCATCCATATGCTGGAGCTATTCTGGAACTACTTGCGAATGAAGAGAGTTACAGTTATGCAAGTGATGTCACGATATAAGTAAAGCGATTACGTCTAACTTAATACAAATGACAACAGCACCCCTAGTGATAAAATTTAGAAGATGGGACGGATCTATACGCGGTTTTACTAATCCCTTCATTTCTCCTTAAGGACAATATTTATTTCAACCAACTTTCATCGAATAAGGAAACGTGATTATGTAAATGAGATATATTACATAAATTCTGTTTTCACAAGTTCGAGGGTTGCCGCGTTGGAGTTGGCACGCTGAAGTTAATACGTTAGAGTGTGCAAGGAGGAGTTAATATAAAGTCTGCGAGTTTGTTGTCAGTTGAAGATTGAAAAGGAGTGGAATTAGTTAAAGACTACAGAGAGTGGAGCCAACGACATTGAGTAAGCCGAAGAGAGCGCCTGCAAGTTTCCAGTGTAGGATCCGATGCATAAAAAGTTCAGGTACTGTGCGTTTGATTAAGTAGAAGCTAGTTTATTAATGTGCGACGTAGTTATATTTGAGCGTATTTAAGCTGTTGTAGATTCAGTTGAGGGTCTGTAATAGTATTCCCGTGTTATAGAGAATCTCACCTCCGTGCTCTACTATATATTATCTACCTTAATTAGAATTGTATTGTGTCTGATTAACAATTAGAATTAATAAATTGATTAGATTGAAAAACATGTCTGTGGACTATTCTGTTTCTCCCACACCTCTAGCCGGGTATACAGATAGACACGAGGGTTTAGATGTAAGCAGGAACCAACCGCTATCACATAGAGAGGCACTGAAAATAGAAAACGAAAATAGATAGAAGAAAAATACCTACGGAAAGTTTTAAAGCACGAATTAATTAGAACGAAAAGAGATTTGGTTCGCCTGAAGTCCTGCTGCCACTGATGATCCGCTGTGTTGAAGGACTAATACCTG